AGATTGATTTAACAAATTAGTATTGCGAAAACCACATTTAGTTCAACAGTCACAACCGATTTCAGATTCTGCGCACACCATCGGGACCAACAAAGATATCAATTTAGTGAGGCGATTTTGCATGTTGGTCACGTGCGTCTGAATCACGGGCCTGCTGCTCCCGTAAACTGTTGACCTACAGTAGAACTTCGCCTCGATTAGCTTTGCCGAAGTTCCGTGTCACCTCTCTAATCCATCCTTGGCAAATCTCGGCAGTGATCCGCAAAAGACCCCGGGTTGATTGCATCAATCAGATTCCCCTGTCCCCCAAGTTCCTCACGACAAACAGGGTTCTTGACATTGCCAAAGGTCCACTCTGCCGCATTCAAGAAAGGGGAGCATGGAGGAAGGTAAAGACAAGTGTGCCCAGCTTCCTCTATCGCCCTCTTCACATCCCCACTACGATGACATGGAACATTGTCCATGATAATCACATGTGAACGCACAAGGCCCGTGGGTCGATGGCCACGCACGTGGGTAGCCGTACCTAGGTGGATGTGCGCAGGACACACGTGAGCGATGCATGATTTTCTGTAGGGCCCACCAATTTATGCGCTCGTCAGTCTAAATCGTTCCTTCATTTGATGGAGGGCACAGTGGGTCTGTCCAAGTTTCTAGAATACTTGTCCATATAGGTTCACAAGATAACCTATTCTGAGGTCCAAGAAGCTTCTACAAGAATCTAAACCGATTGGACTTCATGGCGGATTCCAATCTACCGGTCCAAGAAGCTTCTACGAAATTCCAAATCGGTTTGCGATTTCTCCAACTTCGATGCGTTCACCTAATTTGATTTAAAAAAAATCCAATACGGTATTGTTTTTGGCGAGAACCCGGTAGGGCCTGCCCATTTAGGTTCACGATATGTCCAAATAGCGGCAGTATGCATCTAACTTACCTGGTCAAAGGAGTATTCTGTTCATCTCTTTTCATCTGGATTCGAGCTCTTGATCTGTATTTGAGCAGTTCGTGCTTTGTACCAACTGCGCTAACCCTTCTTTTTTTTTTATTTTTTGTCCCATTTCTTGCTGCCGATCTTTGGAGCGATTATCCGGGGTATGTCTGAGTTGGCTCCCCTTTGTAGTACCGTCTTCCCCCGAATAGAACGTACAGTGATTACACCTGTATTTGGTGCAATTTCCAGTCTAGATACGGAGTCCTCCGCTGAATAGAACGTAGGGTGATTACACCTGTATATTTTTGATTGAACTTCCAGCCAGTTTAGATACAGCGTCCTCCCCTGAATAGAACTCACGGTGATTATACCTGTATCTGGTCCACACCGTCGGTCTAGATACAGAGATAATGACCGTATGTAGCGCTTCTCCTTGTATGTGACAACGGTCCTGGTGAGAGGCTGAGGGCGTACTCATCACACTGCTACAGGTAGTAGTAATTTCCTAAATGAATCTGGCCGCAATTACGGCCAGGCGCAGACGGATCTGACTGCAATCACAACCAGAGCTTGGTAGAAAAAGTCCTTGTGTGATTGTGCCCTGACTTAACGAACTCTCGATTTCACATCTGTGCCCTCCCCTCCTGCGCTCCCCCTTTGCATTACCGTCTTCCCCCAAACATAGAACGTACGGTCATCTTAGCTGTATTTGGGCCAACATCCAGTCTAAATACAGCCAACATCCAGTCTAGATACAGCCAACATCCAGTCTAGATACAGCGATATCGACCGTCTGTTCTATTCGGGGAAGACTGTAGCCCCATCTCGCGTTCATTGTTTGTTTTGCATTACCGTCTTCCCCTAAACATAGAACGTACGGTCATCATAGCTGTATTTGGGCCAACATCCAGTGTAGATACAGCCAACATCCTGTCTAGATACAGCGATATTGACCGTCTGTTCTATTCGGGGGAAGACTGTAGCCCCATCTCCCGTTCATTGTTAGTTTTGCATTACCGTCTTCCCCCAAACATAGAACGTACGGTCATCATAGCTGTATTTGGGCCTACATCCAGTCTAGGTACATCGATAATGACCGCGCATTGTTTGTTTTCAGACTTGGTCGTCCAGGTTTGTTACTGTCTGTGTTGGCTGCGGGGTTGTCTGTTCCTGTTGCCTTCTGTTTTTTCATTTCTTTTCTTTTTTTTATTTTCTTAACTTTAATTCCATATTATTATATACAGGGTTACCTGACGGAACGTTCGGGGGCCCCGGGGCTGGCCTTTCTTTGTTTCATGGTTGTTTTGCTTGCTTGTGATGGGGTGTGAACCGACAATCCGTAGAGTTTTCCATCTGGTGTGGATGAGTGCTTTGACTTTTGCCACAGGTACCTTGAGGGCAGTGGTTGGTGCCCACCTCAAGGTATCAGTTGTCGGGCAGCTCTGTTTGACTATATATACCACGACTTGGCTAGCACCCTGCTACGGTATTCTCCGGTCAGGTCGAGCGGCAGTGGTCGGGCCCGTCACTACGCGGCCATGCTGTGCCTCTAGTGCCAGCAGCGTGTCTGGAGTGTATTTTTTGGTGTGACAGACCTTTCTTTGTTTCATGGTTGTTTTGCTTGCTTGTGATGGGGTGTGAACCGACAATCTGTAGAGTTTTCCATCTGGTGTGGATGAGTGCTTTGACTTTTGCCACAGGTACCTTGAGGGCAGTGGTTGGTGCCCACCTCAGGGTATCAGTTGTCGGACAGTCGTTGATGCTTAACCACAGCTGGGGTTAAGGTGGGTATCAGTTGTAGGGCAGTCGTTGATGCTTAACCACAGCTGGGGTTAAGGTGGATTATCACTTACAGTGTAATCAGTTAGGGGATACTGAAGACTGTTGAGGGTTCAGCCTCCTGATGAGTCGGTGAAACTCCGACGACGAAACAGTTTGCCACAGCCCCTCGTTTGTTGTCCTCTTCTCCCTCTCTGCCTACGGTTTACCGGGCAGCTCTGTTTGACTATATATATGTATATATATATGTATATATATCGTCACAAACAGAACTGCCCGGTAAACCGTAGGCAGAGAGAGAGAAGAGGTATGTATATATGGAGGGCGTCATGATCACTGCTGACAGAAGTGGAGTTTATTCCAGAAAAGAATGTGGCAGTTACTTTGTTCACTGTTGTTACAACCACCACCATCACCACCAGATAATTTGTGATCTGATGGCTGGGAAGCACTTTGCTGTGATTTCCGGTGGGAGGTCTCTGCTTCTTTTTCTTTTTTCTTTTTTTTCCCTTTCTCCTGTGTGAGGAACAAGCCCTCAAGGGACCCTATCAGACATCACATGTTCTGGGCTATAAGGCCCTCAAGGGACCCTATCAGACATCACATGTTCTGGGCTATAAGGCCCCCAGCAAGCCGAGTGGCCGCCCTGAGTGAAGGTGGGCGTGAATATTCGTCAGAGGCCAATATTCGACATTTCCATATGTGGGTATTCAGGCTCTCGCAGCACACTAGCTGGTTGGGTAGACGCATGAGCCTCACTATGCTGGGTTATACAGTTGGCCCAGGCCTTGACAGTTGTGCCTGGGCATGTACACACGAAGCAGGGCCGATACATTGGGAAGAAGGCCGTCGGCCTTTGSAAAAGCAGTACTGCCTACGCACCTGCCTGGAAGCCCTGCACAGATGCAGCAAACAGCCCAAGTCCGGAGACTCAGGCCGTGCCCAACTGAAAGGGCCCCAGGCCCTCAACTGTAGTCTCGGGCCTGGGTGCAGGGTCTGAGGCCCAACCGAAAGCTACTGGAAGCTTCCAGCCAGGCCACACGCAGCATCCAGGAGGCTGCCACTTCCATAAAAGAAGTCAGGCAGCCCAGGCCAGGCATTCTGGCCAGTGCTGGCAATGCGGAAGTGCTGCTGCGCTATCGCTTGATGCTGCGCTGCTGCCAAGGGCGCTGACGGTGCGCGTAGTGGTGAAGTGGGGCGCTGCAGGGCAGCGGGGTGCAGGCGGCCATAGCCGGGCTGCTGGGCGCCAGGGAGGACAACGGGCGATCTGGTGGTCTTCAGGGAAGGAGGCGCAGTGTGGGGTTATCAAGGTCTGATTGAGGGTGATGAGATACACACCTTGTACACGAAGAGAGGTCGGCGATGGTGTTGACAGTCATGTAGATTGGTCTTTGAGAGTCAAAGTGAGCCTGTTGCGTGAACCAGCTGTAGGTAGGATAGTCGGGCAGAGTAGGCTGGGCGCTGAGCGCCAGACACAGAGGAGCGACTTTGGATACTGTGTTGGTATGGCCTACGGGCTTGAACATTGGCTCATTACTTCATGGTATAGCTCTATATGGATGGTTTCTCGGTGCATTTTGTACTCTCTGCTTGGATACGACTACCTTGACATCTGTGTGATTTTGCAACTTGCCTTTTTGTATATCGTTCACACTCATATTCCTTGCACCTGTTTTATCAGCCCAGAAATTTGTAATGAACCTGTCAAGCCCCTGCCACACAGTGTCACACTGGATCGGCCACACAGTGTCACATTGCTAATGGGACCACAACACGTTCCCGGTAGTGTCTGGTGTCCGAACATGTATGCTAGAAGCTATTTTTGTGTTCGGGCCTATTTGCACCGCTCACCGCCATCCGCTAACATTTTGAATGAATCTGAACGTGAAAACTGTCTTGATGCATGCGAAATGTTGGCGGACTCGGTCTTTTTGGGGCTCGTTCGACTCCTTGGGCGCGTAAAATCCCCGAGGAAATCATCGTTCCACTTATCCTCGGGGAAGAAAACGAAAAAAAAAAAGTGAAAACATTTCCTCGGGGATTCCTTGGGCTACAGCCATTTCGAGGCGTTCCCCAAGGGACCTCCCGAGGTCCCTTGGAGGTCGAGCATCCGGAAGAATCGGGGCGTCGACGGCAGCTCCCTCAACGACAATTTTCGACGCGGCTGGTCCATTGCTGTTCCTGGCGGCCTGTGGACGGACAACTCCGGTTCGCAACGACTCCCGTCGTGGAATAGTCCGCCAACGGTCCCCTTGGGCGGCCTGCCGTCCTCCACGCCGTCGAGAAGGGGCTGCCTTGCGTCGCTGCCCTTTGGCACCCGCGGGAAAGCGCGCAACGGTCGGCAGATTCGAATACTTCAGCCGGCCCCCTCCCAAGTGTGTTTCATGGCCGACGTCTTTCGGAGGCTGCCGCTGCTGGTGCTCGTCGTCCTCCTGCTCCTGCTGTTAGTTCTCTTCCACGTGTGTTTCGTCGGCATCGGTCCGCGATGTGGCCGCAGAAGACGGTGTTCGAAGAAGGACGTAAGTATGGAGGGGCGGCAGGTGATGTGCAGGTCTGCAGGGGATCAGGGCAGTGGCCAGCACGCTGGGCAGAGCCCGTCGAGAACTTCAAGGCCGTCGGAGCGGCCTGGGTACGCGCACCTGCCACCGCGCTTGCAGCCTCTGTCGGACACGTCTGACGAGGAGGAGGAGGAGAGACGCTCACGGACCGTGCCGCTGGGTAGCGGGTCCACCCAGGAGTGGGTGGCTACAAAGCTCTGTGGAAGCCGCGGCGGCGGTTGTGCCCAGTCGTACACCGAACTCCCCCAGCAGGGGCTCAGTGGCGATGAGGGCGATGGCGGCGTCAATCTGTCATTCGGGCTGTGTAGCGGGAGGTCGTCGGCTGCGTCGCGAACGGTGATCATCAACAACCACGCCGAAGACGACGGTGGGCAGGTGACGACTTTTGCGCGGTCGTCGAAGTCTCCAACGCCGATCCGGGAGGCGTCGGGGAACAACAGGGATCCTCCGAGGCAGCAATACAGGACGCCGTCTGTGTCGAGGGGTGCGTCAGCTCGCCCCCTGTGGATGCAGTCTCCATCTCCCCTGTCCGCCAATTCCACTGCAGACCGCCGTCGAGCCGAATGCCGGGAGACGGATTGTGGCATCGACGATGTTGGTGATGCACGGGACGGGAGGGAGGTGTGGGCAGAACAGCGACTCAACTGCTCCCCTCGCCGTCTTCTGCTTGTTGTCGAAGCGCAACTCCAACGGGGTTTGTGAAACACCGCCGTAGGGGATGACTACCCATTCCGACGGCGGATAACCGTTGTCCCCCAGCAAATAGCCGTTCGTGCGCACACCGAAAGGCAGCATGCCAGCGGGGCCAGTGAAAAGCTCCCCTGCCTCCGTGCGCGCCCATAAATTGGACAGGTGGACGATCCTCACGTCATGGCAACTTCCCGGATAACCGACGAACACATCCAGCACGCGCAAGTTCAAATTGACGACGACTTGCGCCTGGACGGAGAAACGGCGTTTTCTATCGTAGTAGTCGTCCCTGGGGCAATTCCCTGGCTTGTCGATGAAGATGTGGGTGTAGTCGATGCACCCATGGTAGTTAGGGAAACCCTTGTCAGCGAAAGCGCGCAAGACGACCGCCTTCTGCACACCCGTTGGCCACGCTATCTTTTCGGGGTACGCCTTCAGCAACGCCACAGTCATATCCCGCACAGCCACCAACCCGGAAGATCTGCCAATGCCGAAGCTGCATGTCCCGCTCTCGTACGTCTCCCCCGACGGCCACCTGTTCAAAGCGTACGCGACAATGTGGTCTGGCTGGAGGGGCTCCCTATAGAAAGTGACACGACGTTCAAGGAAGGGAGACAAAGCTTCCGTGATCTCTCAAAACACATGTGGCGACATGCGCAGCTTGTCCTTGGTAGTCCGCCGTTGCGTCGTCGCAATGCCGCAAATCCTCCCACGTCCCGCCCGTCCGTCGCTTCATCCACCACCTCGGCGTCGCTCTGGGGAATGCTCCACACCCCATGCCGTAGCACACCTGCAGCACGGCGTCGCAAATGGCAGCACTGTCCTCCCCCTCCACAAAGAACGACTGCAGCGTCCTCTTCCGCCGTGCGCGAATGGCCACTCTCACCCTTCCCTCGCCCCTCCGCAATTGACACCGGAAGAAGACGGCGTTCACGGCCGCTGCCACCGCCGTCCTCGCCGCCTTGCTCAATGTGTCACCCCCCCTCCCCCCGTTCATGGCCATCGCCGGAAAGTGCACTGTCCACGTGGCCGTCGCCAACTGCAGAAGACTCCACGTGTGGCGGGCCACAACACAGCGTGCACGTCGACGTCGAAGGTGCGCCGGCGAAGACGACAACGACGGCGATCATGTGACGGCGTGTAGACTGCTTCGGACGTCTTAATGTACGTTCAGCTTGCCCTACCCACACGCAGCCGCCTGCCCGTGCCGAAACGCTTCCGCCGACGAACAGTGCTGCCGTCAACCGCAAGGGACGCCCACGCCGCCGTCTGTCGCTTGCAGAAATTCGAATTTCAAAATTCAAACCCGGGACTGCGCGCCTTTTTCTCTGTTTCTTTTTTTTTCCGATGCCAAATTCCATTTTCGCGACGACCGCCCGAGGTGGACCAACGACGTCCGCACGGACACACCTTCATGGACCAACCCCCCCCCCCCCCCCGCGTCTGCTCGTCGATATATGAAACTGGCCGCGGAAGGCCCCGAGGAATTGTCCTCGGGGAACAACTCCGAGGATGAGTGGAACGAAGGTGGGAAATTCCTCAGGCGACTCCAGGATTTTTTCGTCGGGGCCCGAGGACGCCCAAGGAGTGTCGAACGAACCCCTTTGTCTTTTTGTTTTCTTCTTTTGCGTTGGGCTCTCTGGTTATTATCTCTTACGATTTCCGTTTTCTTCAGTGGTCGGGATATGGCGGCTATCACGACTATGATCGCAGCTTGTTGTTCGTTGTCGAAGGGTGAGAGCGAATGCACATAAAGCTGTATTGCGTAATTGACCTTTGAGGTTTTTTTTTTTTTTTAGCCATGAAAGGTGTTGCTCTTCTCTGCAATGCATCTCGACTCGACCGACTGATTAATGAGTGATTAATCGATCCAGTAATAAATTGATCCAGTGATTAATTGATTGAGTGAGCAATTAATTGGTTGAGTGGGTGATTAATTGGTTGAGTGAGTGATTGATCGCAAATGATGGATAGAGCGATTGATCGATAGAGCGATTGATTGATAGAGCGATTGATTGATTGATTGAGTGAGTGATTGATCGAGAGAGGGATGGATCTAGTGATTGATGGATTGCGTTATTGATGGGTCGAGTGATTGATTGGTTGGTCCTTGATTGATGAAGTGACTAACTTGATTGATGATATAGCGATTGTTCGTTCGATGGATCCAGTGATTGCTGGATTCGTGCCGTTGGTCCATTGACCAATTGATTGGTTTCTTGATTGCTAATCAGGAGATTGACAGTGAACTCTCGACGAACGGCAGGTCAAGTGAGGTTGTTGTATTGCATCACTTCATTCATGTCGTTGCTGTGCCAATGGAGAACCAATGTACGGCCCCTTGTAGCATGTACGGGAGCGCATGCGCGTGTAATGTACTTGTGCATTGCGTCTATACAGCCTCCCCCCGCCCCCCCACACACACACATACAGACACACACACACACACACACACACACACACACACACACACACACACACACACACACA